CTATCCCTATCCCTATTCCTATCCCTATCCCTAACCCTAACCCTAACCATATCCCTATCCCAAGCCCTAACCCTATCACTAGCCCTAAGCCTGGTGTGTTATCCTCAGAACAAGGCGTCTCCTTCAAGCCCCACGCTGGCTGCTGTGACCCCGCGAGTCTCACGTGGCCCAGGCGGCGGGGTGTGTCCTTCCCAGAACCACACTGTCGTCTGAAGGGAGTTTTGTGGGACCTGGAATCCGTCTCCTCCTGCGAAGCCCTCCTCTGCCTTCTCCCGCGGCAGGGGCTCCGTGTTGGCGTGAGAACCGCCCCTCCACCCCCCACGCCCCCCACACACTGTGCCTGCGCTGGCGCCGGCTGCACTGTCTTCAGCCTGAGAGCGGCTGCCCCGGCCCTCTCTCCGGGAGCCACGAGGAGTGAGAGCACCTCCCTCCCGTCTCCCTCGTCCTCTGCCCCCCGGCCCCGGGGCCGATTCTGTGAGTCCCTCCCAACGACCCTGCCCACGGGAGGGGCCTCCTGCCCAGCAAGTCCACACGCGGCCGCTGTCCCCTCACCCCCCCTCAGGACGCTTTCACCTGCGAATGTCAGAAAACCCGGGGAAAGTATAAAGAAAGGGGCATCATCACCCCAGAGGAGGTGGCTGAAAGGTGCCCCCAAACTTCATGGCACCCAGAGCCCACCTGCGACCTTGTTTGGGGAGAGGGTCTTGCCGATGACCAAGCTGAGATGAGGCCCCCGGAGGCACCTGCACACATGACTGTCCTTGTCGGGGCAGCTGGACGCAGACGCAGGGAGAAGCCAGGGGAGGTGGGGGAGGTGGGGAGGTCCCACGCCCAGGGACAGGTCTGAGCTCCCAGGCCGCCCAGCAGTCCACGGTCGCCTGCAGTTTACCGGGGCCACGCCCTGTGCCGATGGCCGACTCCACTGCCTCCGCACCCGCGCTGGCCCTCGGCCTCTCCTGAAACCCCCGTGGCATCCCTGGTCAATGCATCCACACAGGCACTAAGCTGCTCCTGTCCCTGAGGGGACCCTGCCCCCGCCGCCCTGTGCTTGCCCGTGGAGGAGGCCGGTCCACCGCACCAGCCAGCTCTTTCCAGAAAGTTCTCCGCGGTAAACAAATGAGGACAGACACGGCCACGTGGACACGTGATGGTGTTAAAGTCACTGAGTTTTACACAAACGCAAGAGAGCAAATGGAAGGTGTTAGCTTTTTAATTTAAGAAAAGAGGAGCAGGATATAATTTCAATTTGTGATGAAATGAGATGTTCCCGAGATTGTGATTTCAATTGGATTACACCCGATGCACTTTGTAGTGTCTGCCGGCTGCCGGCAGGTGTGTGTGGGATCTGTTAGCAATGTAACGGCTCCATCTCGTCACAATGACAATGTAACTCCACGCTCAGTCCAGTAACAATGTAACTCCCCGCTCCGTCCAGTAACAATGTAACTCCCCGCTCCGTCCAGTAACAATGTAACTCCCCGCTCCGTCCAGTAACAATGTAACTCCCCGCTCCGTCCAGTAACAATGTAAGAATGTAACTCCACGCTCAGTCCAGTAACAATGTAACAATGTAACTCCACGCTCCGTCCAGTAACAATGTAACAATGTAACTCCACGCTCAGTCCAGTAACAATGTAACAATGTAACTCCCCGCTCCGTCCAGTAACAATATAACAATGTTAACTCCACGCTCAGTCCAGTAACAATGTATCAATGTAACTCCACGCTCCGTCCAGTAACAATGTAACAGTGTAACTCCACGCTCCGTCCAGTAACATGTAACAGTGTAACTCCACGCTCCGGCCAGTAACAATGTAACAATGTAAAATCCCCGCTCCGTCCAGTACAATATAACAATGTTAACTCCACGCTCAGTCCAGTAACAATGTAACTCCCAGCGCCGTCCAGTAAACAATGTAAAAAAGAATGTAACTCCACGCTAGTCCCAGTAACAATGTAACAGATGTAGACTCTCCGCTTCGTCCAGTAACAATGTAACAATGTAACTCCACGCTCCCGTCCAGTAACAATGTAAGGAATGTAACTCCACGCTCACAGTAACAATGTAACAATGTAACTCCTCCGCTCGTCAAGTAACAATGTAACAGTGTAACTCCACGCTCAGTCCAGTACATGTTAACAGTGTAACTCCCCGCTCAGTCCAGTAACAATGTAACAGTTTTAACTCCACGCTCAGTCCAAGTAACAATGTAACAGTGTAACTCCCCGCTCAGTCCAGTAACAATGTAACAGTGTAACTCCACGCTCAGTCCAGTAACAATGTAACAGTGTAACTCCCCGCTCAGTCCAGTAACAATGTAACAGTGTAACTCCACGCTCCGTCCAGTAACAATGTAACAATGTAACTCCACGCTCAGTCCAGTAACAATGTAACAATGTAACTCCACGCTCCGTCCAGTAACAATGTAACAATGTAACTCCACGCTCAGTCCAGTAACAATGTAACAATGTAACTCCACGCTCAGTCCAGTAACAATGTAACAATGTAACTCCACGCTCAGTCCAGTAACAATGTAACAGTGTAACTCCACGCTCAGTCCAGTAACAATGTAACAATGTAACTCCACGCTCAGTCCAGTAACAATGTAACAGTGTAACTCCACGCTCAGTCCAATAACAATGTAACAGTGTAACTCCATGCTCCGTCCAGTAACAATGTACCAGTGTAACTCCCTGCTCCGTCCAGTAACAATGTAACAGTGTAACTCCCCGCTCCGTCCAGTAACAATGTAACAGTGTAACTCCATGCTCAGTCCAATAACAATGTAACAGTGTAACTCCATGCTCAGTCCAGTAACAATGTACCAGTGTAACTCCCCGCTCAGTCCAGTAACAATGTAACAATGTAACTCCACGCTCCGTCCAGTAACAATGTGACTCCATGAGTCCAGGACTCCGACCAGGACCGAGGACCAGGACGAGACAACTAGCTGACTGGCTGACAGACAGGCTCTCAGGACCTGCTACAGCCGCCGGGCGAGGCCGCTGCCGGGGACCCCGGGAGGCCGGCCTAGGCAGGAGGCCCCAGGAATCAAGTCCAGGCTCAAGGGTGAGTGGGAGCCACAGCAGCTCAGGGAGGCGGGCCAGGCTGCAAGAGGCAGAGACGCCCACCCTGGGCCCCGTCACACAGGCCCTTCCTCGGGGAGCCCCCAATGTGATGGGGGGGGGCTCCCCCCTCCTGACATGTGAGCCTGGCCCTCCTTTGTGACTCAGTTTCCCCTCTTGTCAAAGGGACAGAGCCCTGCTTACACCACCAGTTCCTTGAAGGGCTGCTCCCTGCGTGGCTGCCCCTCCACCTTCTGTCCCGACCCCCTTCCTGCTGCAGCCGATGCCTCCCTGCTCCCCTGATTCTGCACAGCCAGGCCTTGGCCACAGGTCTCTGCTCAATGTCCTTCAGCTCAGGCCGCAGGCCCCAGACCCGCAAGACCTGAGTGTGAGGGGTGCCAGCAGGGACCCCTCTGCCCCCACCCCCACGTCCACTGGAAACTGGTGTCTCTGGCCTCGTCGGGGAGGGAGAGGCCTGGCCGTGCGAGGTCTCCACGTGGGCCCGTCCGGCTGCGCCTCTCAGTAGCCGTGGCCCCGGGAACCTGCTGAGCCAGTCTCTCATCTGGGGTGTGGCCCCCAGGCCTCCTGGCAAGTTGTTGGGGGCCCCCAGGGTGGGTGGGACCTGGGCTGACTCCTCCAGGTTAGGGGTGGGCAGTGGTGAAGCCAGCCCCCCCTGCACCCCAGTGGCCCCCACGGCCCCCCTGCTCCTCCCTGGGGCTGAATGGATGTCACCGGACTGGTGACCCCGGTGACCTCAGGGCTGGTGCTTGTCCTACAGCGACGGGGTGTGTGTGGGGGGGGCGGGGGGCAGTCCAAGGCCCGGCCCTGGTGGGGAGCAAGGACAGCCATGAGAGGCTCAGGGCCTGGGGCTGGACCATGAGTGGCCGCCTCTGCTGCCCCCACTGTGCGCCCTCGGCACCCAGGAGGCTCCCTCTGAGGGGGACCCCACAGCAGGAAGCCCCACTGCCCACGGCTGACGGGCCGGAGCCCTTCTGTGCCTGTCTCAGGAACCCCACAGCCGCCTGCCCGCCCGGGAGGTGGGTCTGTGCTGTGCGCTCAGGGCGCCCGTGGCCTCTCTGAGCCCGTCCTCGTCAGCAAACCGCCCAGCATGCTGGGCGGCCCTCGGCCTCCATCTGGTGGACAAGAGGCCTCACTGCGGAGGGACAGGGGCCGGTCCAGGTCCTCCTAACGCTCCCCCAGGCTCTGCTCCTCCAGCCTGCCCACCGCACAGCCCAGGCCTCCGACCGCACAACCCGGGCCCGCTGACCGCACAGCCCAGGCCTCTGACCGCACAGCCCAGGCCTCTGACCGCTCGGGGCGCCCGCCTCCTCCCATCCCCCCCTCCAGTGGGTCTGGCTGTGAGGAGAGCGAGCAGGAGGCCCTCACTGTCCGGCTGGTCCAGGCGCACCCACCTGGCCCTGCGGGTCCATCGGCCACCAGAGGCTCAGGGGCAGGGCCCTGGCCGAGGCCTCGCAGCAGCGACACAGGGACTGAACCCCCCTCCCCCCCCCCCGTCACCCCCTGACCCCACTCCCTGGGATTCCGGCCGAGACCCCAGCAGCCAGCCTCGGACTCCGACCGCTGGGCCCCACGGGGACCTGCCTGCCGCCTGGCGGGGGTGTTGGCGGGAACCACCACGACGGCCGGACAGCTGGGGGCGGCCAGGGCGACAGCCACCCTGGTCCGCACACGGGCGGGAGTCAGCGCCGGGGGAGCCGCTCGCCTCTCCGGGGTCCCAGGGGCAGCGCTGGGCGGCCCTCGGTCCCCCGCTGCCCAGCTGTGCCCCCCACAGGCTCAGGCTCAGGCGCGAGGCCCCTGCGGGCTGTCAGGACCCAGCCCGGTTCCGACCCAGGACCAAGGCCAGAGCTGAGCGGACACACCTGCCCAGGCCGCCCAGACCCCTGGGAGCGCAGGGAACGGAGGCGGAGCCCAGACCGTGTGGTCAGTTCCTTTATTGAGGCCACTCGGACCCACGGAGGGCGGTCCCCACCCCCCAGGCCAGGGTCCCGCAGGCGGCCGGCGGTCACTCGGGGGTCCGACTTCTGCCCTTCGGGGACCAGATCTTGGAGAAGCGGAACTTGGACTTCTTCCTCTGCAGGTCTGAGGAGGGACACTCAGCACTGCCCAGCTCTGGCCATGGCCCCGGGCCCGGCCCCCGTCCCCGTCCCCGCCACGTTCCCCGGTAGGGCCCCCCGGCCTTAGACCCCACCACCCAGACCCGCTGCTTCTGGACCCACCAACCCGGGAGCAAACCCCCTGAGGGTGTGCCTGCCTGTCCTCCCCCCCCCCCCGCAGGCCCCACCCCCGCAGGCCCCTCCCCCACAGGCCCCTCCCCCACAGGCCCCTCCCCCGCAGGCCCCTCCCCGCAGGCCCCTCCCCCACAGGCCCCTCCCCCACAGGCCCCTCCCCAACAGGCCCCTCCCCGCAGGCCCTCCCCGCAGGCCCTCCCCACAGGCCCCTCCCCCGCAGGCCCTCCCCACAGGCCCCTCCCCAACAGGCCCCTCCCCGCAGGCCCCTCCCCCACAGGCCCCTCCCCCACAGGCCCCTCCCCGCAGGCCCCTCCCCGCAGGCTCCTCCCCCACAGGCTCCTCCCCCGCAGGCTCCTCCCTCTCAGGCTCCTCCCTCACAGGCTCCTCCCCCACAGGCTCCTCCCCGCAGGCTCCTCCCCCACAGGCTCCTCCCCCACAGGCTCCTCCCTCTCAGGCTCCTCCCCCGCAGGCTCCTCCCCCACAGGCTCCTCCCCCACAGGCTCCTCCCTCTCAGGCTCCTCCCCCTCAGGCTCCTCCCCCACAGGCTCCTCCCTCTCAGGCTCCTCCCTCACAGGCTCCTCCCCCACAGGCTCCTCCCCGCAGGCTCCTCCCCCACAGGCTCCTCCCCCGCAGGCTCCTCCCCCACAGGCTCCTCCCTCTCAGGCTCCTCCCCCGCAGGCTCCTCCCCCACAGGCTCCTCCCTCTCAGGCTCCTCCCTCTCAGGCTCCTCCCTCACAGGCTCCTCCCTCTCAGGCTCCTCCCCCACAGGCTCCTCCCTCACAGGCTCCTCCCCCACAGGCTCCTCCCCGCAGGCTCCTCCCCTGCAGGCTCCTCCCCCACAGGCTCCTCCCCCACAGGCTCCTCCCTCTCAGGCTCCTCCCCCGCAGGCTCCTCCCCCGCAGGCTCCTCCCCCACAGGCTCCTCCCTCTCAGGCTCCTCCCCCGCAGGCTCCTCCTCTCGGCCCCTCCCCTCGGCCCCTCCCCCACAGGCCCCTCCCCCAGCCAGACCCCTTACCCAGCCTCTGGATCATGGTCTCCAGCATCTCGTCCTCCTCCTGCTCCCTGAAACGGGAAGGGCCTCCTGTCAGCCTCACACCTGAGCCCTGAGCCCCGGGCACGGCCCTCACCCCCTTGGGCAGCTTCCTGTCCTCCTGGGGCCCAGACCCCCAACAGTGACATGGGGACCCGAGGGGGCGGGACTTCCTGGGCCGGGGCCCCTCAAGTTTGAGGGACACGATTGAGTCGACCTTCTGACCCTTTGCGGCCAGAACAGGAGCCCAGACGCGGGCGGGCAGCTCGGGGGTCGCGAGGGGCGCAGGGCAGCGCGGGAGGCACGTGCGGTGACGTGTGTGAACAGACAGCCCGGCCGGCTCAGCTCGGTGGCGAGCGTCGGCCGATGAGCCCGGAGGTCCCGGGGTCGATCCCGGTCGGGGCACAGGCCCGGGGCGCGGGCTCGATCCCCAGTGCGGGGTGCGGGAGGCAGCCCATCCATGTGTCTCAGACCGATGTTTCTCTCTCCGTCTCTCCCCCTTCCACTCTCTCTAAAAAGAAAAAATCGATGGGAAACATCCTCGGTGAGGAGTGACAAAACCCCACACATAAAAGGCCGATGTGCAAAGTGTCCCCTCGGGAGTCCGACCGCTCGCTATGACGTGTGCTGACCACCAGGGGGCGGCGCGGACGAAGGAGGCCCCCATCGGCCCTGATCCCGGCCAGGCCTAGGGACCAACGCTCCCCGTGCAAGAATTTCGTGCAGGGGCCTCTAGTAAGTAAATAAACAAATAAACTGGAAAGAAATGTAAAGTCCCGCCCCCACCCTCAGGCCACTGCAGGCGCTTGGTGGCCCCCCCCACCCCACCCACCCCCACCCCCACCCCCCGCCGTTGTGAACAGCGGTCCCTGCGCTGCCGCGGCCAGGCTGCCTGGGGGCCGGGGAGCAGGGGCCGGGGAGACAGGCTGCCTGGGGGCCTGCCCTCGGGCTCACCCTCCAAATGCACAGTGGGTCTCACTGTTCAGGTCTTGAAGGCTCTGAGCTCAGAGTGACCAATCCTGGCTGCCTGGGGGACGCCTGTGCTCCCCAATTCACCTGGGCCCCCCCTCACCTGGGCCCCCCTCACCTGGGCCCCCCTCACCTGAGCCGGTCCTCGTCCAGGAAGTCGATGATGTCGCTGCGGTCGTTCACGGTGCTCACGTACTGAGTCAGCAGGTCCTGCTCCCGCTGCCGGTCCTGGGGGGACTTCAGAGCCTCTGTGGGGACAGCTGCGTCAGCCGAGCCCTGCCCCCTCTCAGGACAGTGTCCCCTCCTCCAGCGCAGGCCCCGCCCCTGGAGGCTGGGTGGGTCTCCGGGCACCTGGGACAGAGGGTGCCTCCAGGCAACACAGACGGAAGGAGAAGGAAGGACCACGTCCGAGAGGTGAGGCCGCCCCGCGTGGCCCCCCAGCCTCAGAGGTCGCCCAGTGGAGAGAGACGCGGGGAGAGAGACGCGGGGAGAGAGACGCGGAGGGAGAGACGCGGGGAGAGAGACGCGGGGAGAGAGACGCAGAGAGAGAGAGACGCGGGGAGAGAGACGCGGGGAGAGAGACGCGGAGAGAGAGAGACGCGGGGAGAGAGACGCGGGGAGAGAGACCCGGGGAGAGAGACGCGGAGGGAGAGACGCGGGGAGAGAGACGCAGAGAGAGAGAGACGCGGGGGGAGAGACGCGGAGGGAGAGACGCGGGGAGAGAGACGCAGAGAGAGAGAGACGCGGGGAGAGAGACGCGGGGAGAGAGACGCGGGGAGAGAGACGCGGAGAGAGAGAGACGCGGGGAGAGAGACGCGGGGAGAGAGACCCGGGGAGAGAGACGCGGAGGGAGAGACGCGGGGAGAGAGACGCAGAGAGAGAGAGACGCGGGGGGAGAGACGCGGGGAGAGAGACGCGGGGAGAGAGACCAGGGGAGAGAGACGCGGGGGGAGAGACGCGGGGAGAGAGACGCGGGGAGAGAGACGCGGGGAGAGAGACGCAGAGAGAGAGACGCGGAGAGAGAGACGCGGAGAGAGAGACGCGGGGGGAGAGACGCGGGGAGAGAGATGCGGGGAGAGAGACGCGGAGAGAGAGACGCGGGGAGAGAGACGCGGGGAGAGAGACCCGGGGAGAGAGACGCGGGGGGAGAGACGCGGGGGGAGAGACGCGGGGAGAGAGACGCGGGGAGAGAGACCCGGGGAGAGAGACGCGGGGGGAGAGACGCGGGGAGAGAGACGCGGAGGGAGAGACGCGGAGGGAGAGACGCGGGGAGAGAGACGCAGAGAGAGAGAGACGCGGGGAGAGAGACGCGGAGAGAGAGACGCGGGGGGAGAGACGCGGGGAGAGAGATGCGGGGAGAGAGACGCGGAGAGAGAGAGACGCGGGGAGAGAGACGCGGGGAGAGAGACGCGGAGGGAGAGACGCGGGGAGAGAGACGCGGAGAGAGAGACGCGGGGAGAGAGAGACGCGGGGGGAGAGACGCGGGGAGAGAGACGCGGGGAGAGAGACGCAGAGAGAGAGAGACGCGGGGAGAGAGACGCAGAGAGAGAGAGACGCAGAGGGAGAGACGCGGGGGAGAGACGCAGAGAGAGAGAGACGCGGGGAGAGAGACCCGGGGAGAGAGACGCGGAGGGAGAGACGCGGGGAGAGAGACGCGGAGAGAGAGACGCGGGGAGAGAGAGACGCGGGGGGAGAGACGCGGGGAGAGAGACGCGGGGAGAGAGACGCAGAGAGAGAGAGACGCGGGGGGAGAGACGCGGGGAGAGAGACGCGGGGAGAGAGACGCAGAGAGAGAGAGACGCGGGGGGAGAGACGCGGGGAGAGAGACGCGGAAAGAGAGAGACGCGGGGAGAGAGACGCGGGGGGAGAGACGCGGAGGGAGAGACGCGGAGGGAGAGACGCGGGGAGAGAGACGCAGAGAGAGAGAGACGCGGGGGGAGAGACGCGGGGAGAGAGACCCGGGGAGAGAGACGCGGAGGGAGAGACGCGGGGAGAGAGACGCAGAGAGAGAGAGACGCGGAGGGAGAGACGCGGGGGGAGAGACGCGGGGAGAGAGACGCAGAGAGAGAGAGACGCGGGGAGAGAGACCCGGGGAGAGAGACGCGGAGGGAGAGACGCGGGGAGAGAGACGCGGGGAGAGAGACGCGGGGAGAGAGACGCGGAGGGAGAGATGCGGGGAGAGAGACGCAGAGAGAGAGAGACGCGGGGGGAGAGACGCGGAGGGAGAGACGCGGGGAGAGAGACGCGGAGGGAGAGACGCGGGGAGAGAGACGCGGAGGGAGAGACGCGGGGAGAGAGACGCAGAGAGAGAGAGACGCGGGGGGAGAGACGCGGAGGGAGAGACGCGGGGAGAGAGACACAGAGAGAGAGAGACGCGGGGGGAGAGACGCGGGGGAGAGACGCGGAGGGAGAGACGCGGGGGGAGAGACGCGGGGGGAGAGACGCGGGGGGAGAGACGCGGGGGGAGATGTGGAAATGGCTCGGGACCAAGCCATTCGGCCACCTGACCCATAACACCCAGCAGCACACCCTCCCCACAGCAGGAGCTGGAAGCCAGTGTCCCCTGGGCAGCAGGTGACACCCTGGCTCAGAGCGGGCGAGTGCGGAGGCGGGGACGCACCGGGTCGGGCCATCAGCTGGCGCAGCTCCCCCAGGATGTCCAGCTGCTGCTCCTCCAGGTTCTGGTCCCGGGCCCTGCGGGCGACAGTGTGAGGCGGGGCCGCCTGCCCACCCGCCCGCCCAGGGAGGCCCTCGGGGCTGGGCTCTCACTTGTACATCAGCTCCGACTCCAGCCGCAGCAGCAGCTGCTTCTCGTGGATGAGCCGGAACCAGTCCACCATGAGCGCGTCCTCAGAGGCGTCTGCGGATAGGAGCCGGGCTGGCACGGGGCGGGCAGGGGCCCCACAGGCTGGCATGGGGTGGGAAGGGGGCCCCACAGGCTGGCACGGGGCGGGCAGGGGGCCCCACAGGCTGGCACGGGGTGGGCAGGGGGCCCCACAGGCTGGCACGGGGCGGGCAGGGGCCCCACAGGCTGGCATGGGGCAGGCAGGGGCCCGAGGGCAGCCCCAGGCCAGGGGCCCCATAGGTTGGCTGTGGGCAGGGCAGGGTGGGCAGGGGGCCCCACAGGCTGGCAAGGGGCAGGCAGGTGCCTTGGCGGGCAGGGCCGCTCACCCCCCTCGGCCGCCCGCAGGCGCTTCTCCAGGTCCACGCCCCTGAGCTCCAGGGCGTCCAGCTGCCTCTCAATTTGCTGCACCTGCCTCTGGATCTCCTCAGGGGGCAGGTAGTCAGGGTGCAGCTGCGGAGGAAGGGGGTGAGGGGCCATCCAGGCCCGGGGCTGAGCTCCTGCCCCCGCCCCCCGCCCGGCCCACTCACCCTGACAGGGGAGGTCACCGCCGTGCCAGGGGAGGCAGGGGCAGCGGCTTGGCCCACGGGCCTCCCTGGAGAAGGAAGGGGCAGGCTGAGTGTCCTGGACCAGGGTCTGACCCCCAACAACTCGTCCCCCCAGCTCTGTCCCCCACATCTCCTGCACCCCCCCCACCAGCTTCCCTGTCTACCCAGCAGGCCCCTGGGCAGAGCCTACAGACAGATCTGGGCACCATCCCCAGGCGTCCCCTGGTGCCTGGCCCCACCCGCCTGCAGGGCAGCACCCTCAGCACCGCCAGGAGCCAACCCGCCAGCGGCACCAGGTCTGCGACTCAGATTCAGGCCTGTCCGGTCTCCAGCCCTCCCCCCTTCTCCCCCTCCCCCCTTCTCCCCCTCCCCCCACAACCCTGTCCCACCCGAGACCCAGACCCACATGGCTCGGCCTCCTGCAACCTGCTGGCCCCGTGCGCTTCCCTCCTTCCAGACCTGAGGACTCCTGGTCACCCTTTAAGTCCCTGTTCACCCGTGCCCTTCGCCCGAGCCCCTCACCCGCTCCCCCCACCCCCCACCCGCTCCCCTCGCCCGCACCCCCACTCCCCTCGCCCACGCCCGCTCCCCTCGCCCGCTCCCCTCGCCCGCACCCCTCTGCCCGCTCCCCCCGCCCGCTCCCCTCGCCCGAGCCCGCTCCCCAGCAGGAACGGCTGGGCCGCTCTGGCTGACCTGGCTGGTCCGGAGGGGGTCTGTCCTCCTGGGTCCGGACCAGGGCTTCCTGCCGCGGGGGTTTGGGCTGAAGCCAGTTGCCAGAAACGTCCAAGCTGGGGGGGACGGCCAGCTTCCTGCGACCGGACGGGGAGGGCTCCCTGGGGGAGGTGGTTGCTGTGGACAAGACACAGGCCTGATGTGGGGCCAGCAGACCCGTCACTCCCCGAGCGGGGCCACTGCGGGCACCACAGCTCCCAGTGCCGGGCACAGCCAGGCGGCCCCTCCAGCAGCGCGGGCAGGATCCTCAGCACAGCCCGGGGCCGGCGGCCGCTCAAGGCCAGGCGGGAAAAGGGGATGCAGGGGTGACTGAGGGTGGGAACACTCACACACACGTGCACATGTACAGGCACACGCGTGTTCACCCATTCACACACCACGTGCATGCCCCAAGGCCCACCAGGACCACTCTCCCTCCCCACAGCATGGCCCACAGTCCCAGCCCCGGACGCCGCCCCCAGGGGCGACCCCTAGACCCTGTCCCCTGGCTGGGGTGGGGGAGGTCACTGGGACCCTGGCTTCCTGCTGGGAACTACCTGAGAGGCTGGGCTGGGGGCCAGCAGGGCCCGGTGTCCTGTTGGGCCGCACGGGGGTCAGGGTGATGCAGACGCCCCCCTCGGAGCTCCCAGGGACCTTCTGGGGAGCAGCCTCCGCCCTCGGCTCCCCTAGGACCCGCGGCTCCATCAGCTCCGGGGCCCTGGGCGGGAGGCAGGAGGTCAGCAGAGAAAGGGGCGGTGTCCCTGCGCCCACAGACACGCCTGAGGCACACACACCGCCAGAGGAAGGCTGCACGTGGAGCGTGGGGTGTGGGGCGCCGAGGCCGACGCGCATGCCTCCTGGGACCCTCCTGGAGCACAGTGTGTCTATGCCCCCTCAGCCCCTGCAGGTGGGGCACGTGCTCGGGGGTCAGGCCGCCCTGGGCAGCTGACCCTGGGCCCACTGCCCAGACCAGGGTGGACTCAAGCACCTGCTGGACCCTCCTGCCTGGGGCATGTCTGTGAGAGCCACCCCTTCCCACGGCCACACACGGGTGGGGGGGCCCCAGCCCACTCCAGGGTCAGGCCCACTGAGTGTTCTTGTCCCTCAGCCACCGAGGCCAGTTCACTGAGTGAGGATTCCAGGGCCCCTGATGGACCCACCTAGCCACCCACCTTCCTGCCTTTCCAGTTTTCCAATGGGAACACGGTCCCCTGTCACCTGGGCTGGTGTGAGCCGTCCCCTGTCACTCAGGCTGGTGTGACTATCCTGTCACTCGGGCTGGTGTGAACTGTCCCGTCACTCAGGCTGGTGTGAGCCGTCCCCTGGCACTCGGGCTGGTGTGAGCCGTCCCCTGTCACTCAGGCTGGTGTGAACTGTCCCCTGTCACTCAGGCTGTCGGTGTGAGCCGTCCCGTCACTCAGGCTGGTGTGACTATCCTGTCACTCGGGCTGGTGTGAACTGTCCCGTCACTCAGGCTGGTGTGACTATCCTGTCACTCGGGCTGGTGTGAACTGTCCCCTGTCACTCAGACTGTTGTGTGCCATCCCATCACTCAGGCTGGTGTGAGCCGTCCCCTGTCACTCAGGCTGGTGTGAGCCGTCCCCTGTCACTCAGGCTGGTGTGAGCCGTCCCCTGTCACTCGGGCTGGTGTGAACCGTCCCCTGTCACTCAGGCTGGTGTGAGCCGTCCCCTGTCACTCGGGCTGGTGTGAGCCATCCCCTGTCACTCAGGCTGGTGTGAGCCATCCCCTGTCACTCGGGCTGGTGTGAACCGTCCCCTGTCACTCAGAGACAGGCTGCTGTGACCGCTCAGGCTGGTGTGAACTGTCCCATCCCTTGGCAGAGCTGGCTTCGGCTGCCCAGCTGCGGTGCTGGGACGTGCCCACATCCCTGCTGTGGGTGCTGATCAGCTGGTGTGTGTTTTCACTCGGGAGCATTTGTTGAGCACCGACTATGTGCCAGGCCCCGGGAAAACCTGGGACGGGCTCCTGCTCGGGCCCCATGAGCACAAACCCACAGGCACAGGGGCAGGTCCAGGCGCAGGAGCCCCCCAGCCCGCCCACTCGCCCCTCACCTCTCAGCCGGGTGCTTCTTCGCCACGGGCTTCAGGTGGCTCCTCCATGCTGCCGGCCCGTCCACCTGGTCCTTCTGGGAGCCAGCGCTCGGGCCTGGCGGGGGGCAGAGACGGGACATATTGGGGGGTTCTGGGGAGAGTCTGTGGGAAAGGCTGGGCCCCACCATCTTCCTGCAGCCGTTCCGCCCACAGGCGCCCAGCAGTCAGGGCCCCGGGAAGGAGCAATGCTGGGAGGCGGGCACAGGCTGTGTGCCTGGAGGACTCACACCGCCTCTCTGGGCCTCACCTTCCCCGCTGCCCAACAGGTATGTCCAGTGAGTCCGCGACTGCCCACTGTCCGTGCGGGGGACCACCCCCTGCCCCATACCCTCACTGCGGGGCTCTCACCCTTCGCCAGTGGGGCCTCTGGCTTCAGCCTGGAGTCAGCAGCTGCCCGGCTGCCCCCTGAGGATGCCGCTGAGCTCGTCCTGCCCGCCTGGGGCGACGTGGATGCCCGTGCGGTGGTGCCCACGCTTGGGGGGGCTGCCAGCTCAGTCCTTGCCGGGCGGCTGAGGGCCGGGGGAGATGCCGACTGTGGCAGCTTGGCCGATGGACCTGCTCGTGGCCCTTCGGCTCTGGGAAGGCCGTTGGAAGCAGAGGCAGTGGCTGGGGAGAGCCTGTGGGTGCGAGAGCGGGGATCAGGCACAGGTGGATCCAGAAGTCCCTCCCATGATGCCAGCAGAAGCCCCTCGGCCTCCCTCGGTGGTTGGTTCCAATGCCCACCCTCCTGGGGAGGGCAGGCCCCTCCAGGGAGGCGGGATAGGCCGTGGACACACTCCCGGCACTGCCGTATGTCTGACCTGACCCTCCTGTTTAAGGCTGGTGTGGGATGAGGTTAAAATGCCCCCCAAACAATCAGGTATGGGGTGTGCGAGGAGCGGCCGCATCTTGTCCCTCCCTCCCCCACCTGTGCAGAGCCGTGGCCCTCCCGGGCCAGCCTAGCTCGCCCTCCTGGTCCGTGGCCACCCGGGAGCCATGGGCCGCTCTGGGCAGAGGGCAGCACGAGGCAGTGGGCGCTGTGCCAGCCAGGCGTGGCATCTCCTTACTCACTAGGTGAGTAGTGAGCTGAATGGTGTCCCCCTCAATTCCTGTCCACCGGCATGGACAGGCTCTTTGCCAGTGTAATCAAGTGAGGGTGAGGTCATCCTGCATTAAGGTGCCCTGAATCCAATGACACGTCCTTATGAGAGACAGAAAGGCAGATAGACACAGAGAGACAGACGTGGTGACAGGCACAGAGGGAGGAGGCAGCCGCGAGCCAAGGGGTGCCCGGGCAGCAGAAGCTGGAAGAGGCAGGAAGGACCCGCCCCGAGAGCCAAGGAGGGGCCCTGCGACACCTCGATCTCCCACCCTGGGCTCCAGCGCTGCCCGCACACCAGCCTGGGCTGGCCCAGCCCGGGACATTGGCACGACCCTCCTCCATCCCAGGATGGCACCCGCTCCGGTTGTGTGCAGAAGGCACGGGCGGCTCAGAACACCCAGGTCAGATAGGTGACACCTGGGTGTTAAACAGGGGTCCTCAGCAGGACCGAGCCACATGGGAACCCCGTGGCAGTGCCCCTGTACCCGCACCCCCAACGGCATGCAGGTGGCAGCCTCAGATGGTAGCTGTGTCCCCCTCCCGCTGCCCGCCAAGCACTCTGGCTCCCTGGTCTCATTCTCCCATTTCCCAGATGAGGAAACTGAGGCTGGAGGGTGAGGCCTCACTATCACACGGCCAGGTGGTGCAGAACCCCAACCATCCCAACCCCTCTGGCCTCTGGGATCCCCAATGGGCAGACAGGGCACCCCAGTCCTCCTTCCCCACGCACCTGCCTGGCGCCTGAGCGTCCCCGAACCCGGGAAGGGCCTTCCGGAGACAGCTCAGCGCCTGCTCCCTGCGGTCGGCCTTGGAGGGCGCGTCAGCTGCGGCCGGGGCCCTGCTGGCCGGCCCAGTGCTGGGGGCTCCGGGCGCCTGCAGGAACCTCTCGCGGGCCTGCTGCGTCCTGGAGGCCGACGGGGTCCAGGCCGGGGCTCCCGCTGGACCCGCAGATGCTGGGCCTGCACTGACCTTGGCCCAGGGGGCTGACACTGGGGAGGCTGCCCTGCCTCGCTGCGTGGCCGGGAGAGGGTCCGGGGCACGAGGGGTCACAGCAGGACGGGGGCTGACCGCCGCCGCGTCCTGTGCAGCCGATGACCACCCTGCCGGGGAGCTATTGGCCACCTGTGTTCTGGCTCTGCCACCCACAGGGCCCACTGAGGGCCTGGACCCGGCCGGGCTCCCCCAGGGGACGTGGGAGGAGGGGGCGTCCCGAGGGGCAGCTGCGGCGGGCACGAAGCCTTTGGCCGTGGCGTTGCCCACCCTGGGCTCCCGGGCTGCAGGCCCGGCCTCTGGCCGTGCGTCTTTCCGTCCACGTGCCTCCTGGGCCGTCTGTGGGGCGCTGGGGGGCTGGGAGTCCGTGGGGACGGCCCCTGGCTGTCTGGGGGCCCGGCCTAGCAACATGGGGCTCGCGGGGGCGGCTGTGGGGCGGTGGCTGGAGCAGACGAAGACGCCGGGCTCCGCCGTGGGCCTGTAGGCGCCCGGGCGCAGCGTGTTGGAGCACTGCCTGCACCTGCGGCGGAGGACACGGCCCAGCTGGCGTCACGTGGCCACGTGGCCCGGAGACCGCGGTCACGCGCAGACGCCTCTCCGGCTGCTCTCCAGGCCGGTCAGCTCCACCAGGCGCTGCTCAGGGGTGCCCCCCCCCCAGCAGCGTCGGTGCCGTGGGCCCCCCCACACACAGGCCCCACCTGAAGCAGCTGCGATGGTACAGCTTCCCGTCCACCAGGTGCCGCTGCACGAGGTGCACGTGCCGGCCGCAGACCCCGCAGGAGCTGCTCACCGCGCCGCCCGCCGAGCCCTGGCCCTGCCGTGGGAGGGGACAGCGGCGTCTGAGCTCGGGCGGCCCCGTCAGCCGCAAAAAGATCCCACTTCACAGACTGGAGAGCTGAGGCCACAGAGCAGCAGCCAGGGCCCAAGCCCAGGCCAGCTGGACGCCAAGTCCAGGGTCTCCAGCCTGGCCAAGGGGGTGCGGCTGGAGGCTTGGTTTGGGGGTTCTTGAGGAGCTAGGACCCCCAACGTCCCCACCCCAAGGCACAGAAATCCAATCCAACTCCGAATGTCGGGCCCAGCCCCGGGAGCCTGGTGTGACGGCCGGGGGACAGCAGAGGGCGCCCGAGCACAAGGTATGGCCCCTTCAAGGCTCCACCTCTGAAAAGTGGGGACACAGCTCCCTGTGTGGGCCGGCCTAGGAGGGAAGACGCACCCACTTTCTCTCCTGGACCCACGGGAGAGGGAGCAGTCGGAGTCGAGAAAACCACTCGGAGCCCCGATATGTCTGGGTTCAAGGTTCAACCGACGGGGAACTCAGCCGGCGGGGAACTCCCTGGGCCTCAGTTTACCCGTCTGCACAATGGGGACCCTATCCCGACCACACAGGACTGAAGGAACTCGGGAGCCAGTGCCCGTGGGCTCCTGGTAAACGTTGCTGAGGCTGGGCCGGAACCCAAGCGGGCCCCAAGGAACCCCCCCGCCCCCCAGCATGGGTTCAGGGGCAAACTGAGCCCGCCCAGCCCCCTCAGGGAGAACCCGTGGGAACCCCAGAACCAGAGGGCAGGCAGGGCTGGCGCTTACAGCCTTCAGCGGGGGGCCCTCTGCAACCCCGTCCTTCCGCTGGACCATGGCGTTTGTGCTGACCGGAGACAGCGGCAGCCCCCGGGCGGGTGTGGGCGAGGGCCTGGCCGGCTGGGGCAAGGCCTTCTTCCCGGACGGCTCCTCCTCAGCCTCAGACGGGGGCCTCTTCACGCCAGCCATGCCCCCAACTAGCAGGAGACACAGGGTCAGGGGCCGGCCCAGCCCCCACCCGGCTCCTAGTGTCTGGGCCACCCCTGCCTGAGCCCTTGGAGATGTGGGTGCCCAGCTGGGGCCTGGAATGGGGGAGGGGGTGGGAGGCAGCTCCTGCTGGGGTGCGGGGGGCGGGGGGGAGCAGCTCCAGCAACAGCCAGCGCCACCAGCTGGGGCCTGGCCTCACCCGCCTCCCGCCCTGCGACCCTGCTGGGGTCAGGAGAGGGGACTTTTCTGTTTCTCCACCAAGTGGGATGGAAGGCGGGGAGGCGGGCTGGCCCCGAGCCCAGACAAGCCCAGAGCGATTCCGGGGATTTCTAAGGCCGGGCCGAGGAATGTGGGGGGAGCAGGAAGCACAGAGCACTGGGAGAGAATGGCAGGCTGCCTCCCCCCGCCACCACGTCAGGACCACATGGGGGGACATCGGAGCTGGGCCTGGGAGCCCGCAGGGGTCTGCCAAGCTGCCAAGACCCAGCGAGGGGGAGGGAGGCGGGAGCTGGCGTGTCTCTCAGGGGGCCTGCCCAGCCTGCTCTGAGCCGGGTGCGGGGAGGACGGGCCCTGGACCCCTGGGAGGAGGCCGCAGCACAGGGGGCTGCCCACGCCCACGGGGCAGGGGGGTGCCCGCCAGGGGCGGCGGAGCAGCACTCACTAGGCGAGCGGCCGTGGAAGTAGTTGTAATACTGCGACACGTAGGTCAGGATGCTCAGCCGGTCCGGCACCTTCAGAGCCACCATGTCCTCGGCCTCCAGCAGGGCCGGGATGCCCAGCTGCTCCTCGGCCACGCGGAAGGCCTGGGGAGGGACGGTCAGCGGGAGCGGCCTGGCCACCAGCTCACCCCGAGGTGCCAGAAGCAAGGACCCCACTGGGAGCCCAGAAAAGCCTGGGCCCAAGGTTCCAGCTTGGCCTGTGTGTCCTCCCTGGGCCTCAGTTTACCCGTCTGCATAATGGGGATCACGTCCCGACCACGCAGGACGGAAGGCGCTCGGGAGCCAGCCCCCGCGGGCTCCGGATGTCAACGCCCACCCAGTGGGGCACAGGGTACCCAGAGGGCGAGGGGCGGGCTCTGCCCTCGGTCCCCAGCGTCTGGGACACGGAGCCCGCTTTGCAGCAACGAGACGGGCTGGCTGGGCCGGGAGGCTCCCGCTGGGACCACAGCCCGCAGCACGGCCAGGAGCAGCGTGAGCGGGACCCCGGCAGCCGGCTGAGAGGCTGGGCCGGGCGGTGGTTCCAGGGTGAGGAGCAGCCGACGGCCCAGCCAGGACCCACCGGGCGCTGCCCCCAGAGCCACCTGGGCCGGCTCTGCCTCGGATGAGCAGGAGGGCCCAGCCACCCGCCCGCCCAGGAGGGGACAGGGGAGCGCAGGGCCAGCCTCCCTCCTCACGCCCGGGACGGCGGGTGCGGCAGGACAGGACTCACCAGCTGGTTGTTCTCGTAGACGTTCTCCTTCCTGAGCGCGTCGAAGTCTCTAGAAGGTAACGACGCAAAGCAGCTCAGACCCGGGAGGCAGGGCTGGGGGGCCTCGGGGGTCAGCCTGCCCGAATGGGGAAACCGAGGCGCGTGTGCGGTTTGCCGGGGAAGGAATGCGGTCGCCGCAGCCTCAGGAGGGCAGGGCCAGCCAGCACCGGGGCACTGGGCCCTGCTGGCCGCACAGCCAAGCCCAGCCCTGAACCGAGGGCACAGCTCAGAGGCCTGGTATGTCCCGGGATGGGACCTCAGGTGGACACGGGGGGCTCCAGGGCAGGGACAGCGACACGCAATGAGGGACAGAACTCGGCCACCCCCCACCTTGATCCCCAGGCACCTCCCCAAACACCCACTGAGTCGGTGCTCACACCCCCACATGCTATCGATGCCCACCTCTCAGGGATGAGGAAGCTGAGGCACAGAGAGGCCCGGCGACTTGCCTGAGGTCACCCAGCAGAGAAGACCAAAGCCAGGCCATGGCCCCAGCGTCCAGGGGAGTTAAGGTTCGACCAATTGGGGCATGGTTTTTAAAATACATATATTTTCATTGATTTTAGAGAGGAAGGGAGAGACAGAAACATCAATGATGAGAGAAAGTCATCCATCAGCTGCCTCCTGCACGCCCCACACTGGGGATCGTGCCCACAACCCGGGCCTGTGCCCCGACCGGGAATCAGACCACAGCCTCCTGGTTCCTAGGTCGATGCTCAACCACCGAGCCACGCGGCCAGGCTGGGCGTGGTACTAAGCGCCCACCTGGTGCCCAGCCCCCTCCCCAGGGAACAGAGCCCCGCCCCCCACACACACCTGCCACAGGGGCAGGACGTCCCAGCCACAGGGTCCCGTCACCAGGCTGCCCGAGCCCCGCACACGCCCAACGTAGGCACCACGGCCCCTGGCACCCCAGAAGGGTGGTCTGAGCAGACAACACAGCCAGACCAGCAGGCGGCTCAGGAGGCGGTTACACACACGTCTGTCTGTCTGTCTGTCTGTCCAGGGGGCTGTCTGTGGGGCCTGAACGGCACCCCTGAAGCTTCCGTGTGACCTGGATTGTTCTGGAAGCTTCGCAGCAGGGAGAGCCGGGGAGAGCGTGGGTCTGACTCCCGCAGGGTGAGCCCCTGCTCCCAGGGCCGCAGTGACCCAGTGGGGGGACCAGCTTCTGCTGGGCAGGAGGGGCCCCGGCTACGGCCGGCAGGTCTCAGACGAGGGGCAGCCGAGACCTGTCGCAACCAAGACCAGGAAACTGAGGCCGGGTCGCGGGGAGGGGATGCGAGCGCGGCTGCCCCCCGCCCCCCTAGGGGCCCTGCTGTCCATCGCCCGGCCCGGCGCCCGGAAACCCCCCTTCCGCCCGACCACCCCGCAGGCAACGCGTTCCAGATGCCAGACCGCCCGGCACAGAGGGCGCTTTGTGCGCGGGGCGGGCGGCAGGTGTGTCTGGTGGACAGACGGCCGGAGGGGCGGGAGGTGGGCCAGGCGAGTGCAGCACAGCCCGCACCCCGTCCACCTGGCTCTATCCCGGCCACGGCCACAGAGTGAGGGTCCCCTGCACCCCCAGGGGCGCCCACTATGCCCGCAGTCTGGGCTCGGAGCCCCCTGCCCCCACCCACCCCTTTGAAAGTTCAGCCTCCCCCCCGCCCCCCCCGCCCTGCGTCCCCCGCAGACCTGCCCCGGGTCACGACCTCCCCCGAGGTGCCCCCTGGCAGGAGGCAGGAAAACAAGTTCTGTTTTGTCTCCTAACAAACAGGAGGGTCTTTACAGAGAGAACCACCGAACGAGGTCACTGGGGTGGCCCCGGCCCAGAGTGACCGTGTCCTCACGGAAAGGGAACTGGGACGGAGCACAGAGGGAGACGCGCCTCCAGCCAGGGCGGCCCCAGGAGGCCCCGGCCGACACCCGACCCAGCCCGGCCCCTCACTGCTGCCGCGGGAGCACCCGGGGGTGCTGGTCGGGCCCGGCTGGCGAACACGGGCTCGGCTGGCCCTGGGGAGGTGGCCCCTTGTTTCAGGCCTTGCTGGACCACGAGGTTCTGGTCCTTGGAGACGGGCCAGGCATACAGCTGGTGCTCCGTCAATGCCTGCGGGGGGAGCGTTCTGTTGGCCTTCACTGGCTCTTTCTTTTTTTAAAGTATATTTTTATTGGTTTCAGAGAGGAAGGGAGAGGGAGAGAATTGCCATGGATTGACGGCTGCCTCCTGCATGCCCCCCACTGGGGATCGAGCCCACAACCCGGGCCTGTGCCCTGACTGGGAATCAAACCCTGACCTCCTGGTTCATAGGTCGACGCTCAACCGCTGAGCCCACTGGGCTGGGCCACTTACTCTTTCAACACCGACGAGTGAGCCACCCACAGCCCCACTGGGCACATGGCCTCTGGCGATGGCTCGCTTGGCCCGCGCCCCTGCCTGCCTCCCACGGCCACAGCTGACCGGGACTGTGGCTGCTGAGCCAGCCCGCCTCCTGGCCCCAGCGCCTGGGGGCTCGGGGCATGTGTCCCTCTAAATTCCTGGAGAGCTGACCTCATGCTGTTTATTTCCTGGAACAAAATGCAGCCCCCGGGGGGGGGGGGGGGGGGGGGCGGGGGGGCGCTGGGGCCGAGGGCAGACAGAAGGGAAAGCCATTCCCGAGCTTTCTCCAGGCCCCTCAGCGCACCTGGAGTTAATCCTGCGTGAACGGAGCAGGGGGAGGGGCAGAGGGACAGACGGAAGCTGGAGGGAGAGACACAGCAGGGAGAGGGGGGACAGGGCTCAAGGGAAAGTGACCCCAAGGCCGACACCTGGGACGGACATGGGGAGAGGGTGGCCGGGAGGGACGAGGTGCCTGAGGCCCCGGGCAGGTCCAAGGCCCCCCCTTCTTGTGCGCGGTGGGCAACTGAGGCACCTCAGCAGTTGCCCAGCTCAGGCCTCCCCAGGCCGGCACCACCCTGCTCCCTACCCCAGCCAGAGGGGTCAGCCCTGGGGCTGCTCCGGTGCCCGGGGTGGGGGTCTCGGGGGGCGTTGGGCTCTGGGCCGTCCCCAAGGAGGGGGTCCTGCAGCCCCCCATGTCCATCCCAAAGATTCTGACCGGAAGGCTGGGCAGCAGGCCCTCAGACGGGGACAGAAGGCCTCTGTCCTCAGGCACTTCCTGCTGACCTCATGCGGGAGGGACAGTGCTGCCTCAGCTGCTGGGGGGCCCCTGGGAGTCTCCTGACCCCCCAGAAGGCGTGTCTAGAATCGTGGTCCAGGAGCCGCCCTGCCTGGCCCTGGGCCCTGACCCCTCCGGGCAGGGATGGACAGGTCACCACCACGGCTGGGGACGGGGAGGCCCGCGACCTGCAGCTGCGCCCTGACACCACTCGGGCGGGCGTCCAGAGCTGCTACGACGGCCCCTCCTCAGCCGGCCTGGGGCTGCCTGCTGCTGGGGGCTCCTGCCGGGCACCGGGCACCTGACTCACACCGGCCCCCGTCCAGGGGACCTTAGTCCCTCCTGGTCTGGCCCCAGCACAGGCCTCAGGTTTATGCCCTCGGCCGCCCGCGCTGGGCGGCACCGGCTCAGCTGGTGCTCACCTGGCCTCACGGGGAGACAGACCTGCAGGCCCTGGCCCACCTACAGCTGCGGGGTGGGCACGAGCCTGTCCCCCAACAGCAGATTCACCCACGCCTCCAGGCCCCCGAGGAGCCACCAACACAGGCCGCATAGCCTCCTGGAGCGGCCGCACAGGAACCCCTGGGCCGGGCGGCAGGCAGACCCTGCGGGAGCGTCCGGCGCCGTCCCCACCTGGCTGGCCCCGCGCCTGCAGCTCCTCACGGCCGCTCTCCCTCCGCCAGGCCCAGAGGAAGCGGCTCCTGTGTAGCAGGAAGGACTGAGACGAAACAAAGGGACTCGGGACAGGATGTCCCCTCCGGCTGCAGAGGGTCTCACCGGACGGAGGGGGTGGTCTCTCCCTGCGGGTCCTCCCAGCCCCTCTGCTCCCTGCACCTCTGGGGCCAGCGGGCAGCTCTCTGCTTCCTGGGGAGATGCCCCTCCCAGCCACCACCTTGCCCAGAGGCACGGAGGGGTCAGAGTGGAGGTGGGTGCTGAAGGCACAGACACAGGCACAGCGAAGGGCTCGTGCACGGGACACGCGGGTGCCCACACCCCAGCCCCCTCAGCCGCTCCCTCAGCCAGTATCTACGGAGCCACACCCACCAGGTGGAAGCCTGCACCACTTCCTGGTTCTGCCGTAACAAATGACCACACACCGGGCAGCTTGGACAACACACTTATCCCCACAGCTCTGGGGGCCGGACATCGCCCGGGTGTGCCCGCCGGAGGCTGGCAGATGCTGTTCCCTGTTCCTCCAGCTCCCGGTGGCTCCACGCGGCCCTTAGCTTGTGGCCGCATCGCTCCAATATCCGCCTCCGTGGTCACATGGCCGCCCCTCCGCCCTCGTGCACGGCCCCTGCTTTCAGACAACTACCGAACTCCTACCATATCTACGGAGCCCCAAGGGCAAGCCCTTATCTCTAGACCTCCAGCTGTGCGCTGATATCCACTGAGCACCTGTCATGCGCTGGGGACGCGGCGGCGAACAGAACAAGCCGACGCCCCACCTTCTGGAGCCGAAAGTCCAGGGGGCAGATGGACCGCAGCCCAGTCAGCAAGCAGGTCACGTGCACGGGCCGGGCGGCGGGCGCCCCTCCCGCGGCCTCACCGCTCTCTCTCGGAAGTAAGCGGCCTGGAGCTTCCATTCATTCCCCTCACTGCCTGTGACTAAAATGTCTTTCCCGGAGGCAGGGGCACGGCCGCCTGCGCAGATGCAGTGCTGGCACGCGGCAGGCCCCCCACGGCCAGGTGAGCGGCTGCGGGACTCGGGCCGTGCCAGCGCTTGTACACGCCCAGGTGTGCGAGCCCTGCTCACTGCAGGCAGCGGGGCATGTTGGGACAGGCGCACACACGCGCACACACGCACGCACACGCACGGCCTTCAACCCCAGCACAGCTGGGAAGCTCCTGGGGCCCAGAAAGACCCCAAGTCTCCGGTTACACCCATGTGGCGGCTGAGCCCCCCGACAACGGCTCCAGCTCTCCCTCTGGTCGCAGGTCCTCCTGCCGCCTCGTGGGGCCTGTGTGGGCTGGGACCCCAGCCGGCCTCATGCGGGCGCTGCCTGCCCACCTCTGCTCCCTCCGGGTCCCTCTCCCAGTCCCCACCCAGCCCGGCAGGGCTCAGCTTCCAGGGTTCAACGTGGAAGCACACTCTGCCCCCACAGCGTCTGCCTCCCAGGGGGACGGGCACCCGCTGGGCGGTGAGCAGAGGCTGCTGCCCGGTGCCACACGGGCACTCCCAGGAGGCCCCACGGACGAACCTGGGAGGACAGAGGGCATCTGGGCGCAGGGGGCCCAGTGCAGCCCTGACTGCCCGACGCTCTGGGACCTGAACAGGTGTCTCCCGTCAGCCTCAGTTTCCCGTCTGCAGCTCAGGCGTCCCGAGCGAGGGCTGCCTCCCCCTTCCCTGCACACGCGCCCCACCCCCTGGCTCCGGCCTGGGCTTCGCAGGAAACGGTCAAAGGCCCTCAGACGCCCTCAGACGGCGCCGGCCGGGCTGCAGGTGGCCTGCCCAGCGCCCTCCCTCCAGCTTTGCGGAGGGCTGAGCTCAGAGCTGTCTCCCCAGCCGGGCGGCCCCGGGGGAGGGCCCTGCTGGGTGAATAACGGGACGGGGGGGGGGGCGGGGGGCGGGGGCGGGCAAGGCTGGCACCAGGCATGGCCGCCTCCCTGCCTCACTCTGACCCCGGCCCCTCCCCTGCCCCCCTCCCCGGCTCCCAGGAGGGGGACTGCCTCCACCGCCCCCTTGTCACCCGGGGGTGCAGCGGCCTGACGGCGTGGGGGGCTCGGGCTTCCTGCTCTGCGTCGGCCCCGCCCCCTCGGTGCCCCTGCGCTGCTCGGAAAGGAGCCCGGACAGGCTGGGGGGTGGGGGGCGGATGCCGCCCGCGAAGACCCCCAGGACCCCCCCCCGCTGGTGGGCAGGCGCCGGGCGGGGGCGGGAAGCCGGCCGGGCACTCACAGGAGGTCGGGCCGGTGGCGGTGCAGGAGGGCGCAGAAGGCCAGGCCGTCGCGGAACGACGTGGTCATGTTGGTGATGCTCACGTCGCGGTAGCCCTCGCACTGCTGGCGGCACCACTGCTGCAGCGCCTGGATGGCCGCCATGCGGGCAGCGGCCCGGGCGCGGGGGCCGGACGGCGCCTGCGGGGGACGAGGAGCCCGACCCCGAGTCGGGCGGACGAGGAGCCGGATCCCCGAAGCGGGAGGACGCGGGGCAGGATCCCCTCGGGAGGACGGGAAGGGGCCGCGCAGCCGGCGGGACAGCGGCCGGTAGAGCGCAGCCCGGGTCCCCGTCCGCCCGCCCCCGCCGGGCCCCGCCCCCTCGGGCCCCGTCCCACCCACCAAGCCCCGCATTGGCTCCGGCCTCGATCAGGCCCGCCCCTTCCAGACCTCGGCCCCGCCCCTTCCAGGCGGGGGTTCCCGCCAGGCCCCGCCCCCTCAGGGTCAAGGCCCCGCCCCCACCAGGGCCCGGCCGCCCCTTGCAGCCGCGAGCCAGGGCAAAGGGGGCGCCCGCCCTGGGGTGCCGGCCCCGCTGCTCCCCCGGAGGCTTCGGGACTGTCCTTTTCGATGGCCCCCTCACCACCAGCCTCATGGCCACCACAGACGGGACATGAGGCTGCCGGGATCCCATGCCCGGGAAATGGACCCCCGCTGGCCTGCCTGTGGCCTCCGGGGGACACGTGCCCCCCTCGGTCCCCCTCGGTCCCCCTCGCCCCCCCAGCGCCCCTACAGCCAGCACCGCAGTTTCAGGGGGAAAGGACTTTCCCATCGGGTTCTGCCCTAGCCAGGTGGCTCAGCTGGTTGGAGCATCGTCTCATGCACCAAAAGGTCGCGGGTTCGATTCCTGGTCGGGGCATGTATGGGGGGGCAACTGATGGCTGTTCCTCTCGCTCCCCCTTCCTCTCTACAAACATGTCCTCAGGTGAGGATTAACGAGGAAAAGGCAGCATTCTTCCGGGTTTTAGGCCTGGGTGGTGCCGGCCAAGGCGGGGCTCACTCCTGATTCACAGAGGCGCCTGAGGCTGGGCCGGGTGTGGGCCACCCGCCTCCCGTCCAGGGCTGGTCCACTCGGCTGCTCCTGGGACACAGCCCTCCTGGGGTCGTGGCGACGTTTCCGTTTCCCACTTTGTGTGTCTGTGACAAGTGGCCAAGGAGAAGCACCTCTCGAGGGCCCTCCGCCATCGGGCGGCTCCCTACACGTTCTCCCCAGGAAGCCTGCCTGTGGCCACGTGGACAGACGGCCGGAAACACTGACACCACAACGTGCGGTCCCCCTGGTGGCCCAGCCCCAGGCTTGTCCAGACCAGGCTGCAGGAAGGAAGGAAGCAGGGTGCTGGCCCAGCGTGGCCCTGGCAGGGAGGCAGCGTGGTCCGTGCCCACTCGAAGGGCCAGAAACTGGGTCCTCCCCCCAGACCCGGCTCGGCATCCCAGCTTCCCTGCAGCTCGCCCTGAGGTGTGGACACCGGCCGCCCAACCGGGTGCGTGAGGCCCTGGCACAGGCGGTGAGCTCCCCGTCTCAGGGGCATGTGACCTGGGATGCTCGCTGGCATGGCTGCTGCTCATACCTGCTGGGGGTTCCCAGCATGAGGACGAAGGGCAAAGCGTCCGGTTCAGCCAGACAGGTGGCCCGGCCCAGAACAGGGAACAACTGGGTTCCTTGACCGCAGGGCAGCAGTCAGAACTGGAAAAGCCGGTGAGATGTCCCCACGCGGGCTGCTCTGGGGCAGTGACAGGCGCATTTGTGGGGTGTCCCCACCAGCACCTCACACAGCACTTCCTTCTGTGGGCCCTGCTCCTCTCCAGACCCCAAAGCCAGGGCCCCAGCCCACCTCCTCCTGCCTCCCATGCACCCACCCTCGCCTCATCCTGACCGCTCTGCCAGCTCCCGTCCCCCAAAGGGGGCCCGGCCATGAGCGGGTCTGCCCTGCGCCAGCTGGTGGCGTGCGGGCTCTAGACGTCATGCGGGCAGTTTCACAAGACGAGTCCAGGTGACTTTTAAAGTTTTTTATATAGTTTTTTATTTTAGAGAGGACGAGAGAAACATCAGTGACGTGAGTCATTGATCGGCTGCCTCCTGCAGGCCCCTCACTGGGGATCAAGCCCGAGATCCAAGCATGTGTCCTTGGCCAGAATTGAACCCAGGACCCTTCAATCTGCAGGCCGATGCGCTAGCCACTGAGCAAACCAGCGAGGGCGAGTCCAGGTGACTTTAAGAGTGTGTTTATTGCCAGCTGGTTTGCTCAGTGGATAGCGCGTCGGGCTGCACACTAAAGGATCCCGGGTTCGATTCCAGCCAGGGGCACATGCCCGGGTTATGGGCTCGTTACCCCCACCCCCAAGTAGGGGGCGTGCAGGAGGCCACCAATCCATGATTCTCTCTCATCATTGATGTTTCTATCTCTCTCTCTCCCTCCCTCCCTCTCTGAAATCAATGAAAAAAAAAGTGTGTTTATTAAAGCTGGGAACTGACATGAGAAGGGCAGGAGGCCCAGGGGCCTCGGAGACGGGCTCGGGGTAAACCTGGGGGAGCTGCCGCGGCCCATACTCCCCTAGTCGCAAGCCTCCTGGGGACCCTGAGTGTTTAGGAGGTGCAGGCCTGCGGGGAACGGAGAGGGGGATGGGAAGGCCCGTGTGCTCCCGGGAGGCAGAGTGTGCACCCTACACCCTCTTCCACCCCTCCCAGCCCTCCCCGGGGCCTTGGCTCTTGGGGGTTTAAAGGCTGGGAGTCTAGGGGAGTCTTGGGAGGATCTCAATGGACTACCCAGGAGCTCCATTCCCCTAGCGTCACCCGCCCTCGGGGCGGCCGGCAATGGCACGTTTGGGTCTGGGTCTCTGCTGCCTCCCCGAGTGGCTGGTTTCAGCAGCTCACCCTCCGGTCGGGAGGAGTGGGGGCCATTTGCTCCGTGTCTGTCCTAGAGCAGGAAGCAATGACTAGCTGGCCACACACTGCGCTTAACCACCTCAGTCTCCCCACGCCACTTGCCAAGGGATTTTCCTGGCTTCTTACTCCCCTGCCTCCCCTAGCTCCCTCCCGCCCTCGGGCGGCCAGTCAGCTGAGGGACACGCTCCCAGCAGCTGAGGGACAAGCCCCACCCTGCTGCCTCCACAGCCTCTGAATAAAGTCCAAGACCTTATCAGGCCGTCCAGCCTCTCTGGCCCCTGCCGCTCCCTGGCCTCACCCTCCCACGCCCACCCTGCCCTCCTGGCCTGGGTCTGGCCCATCATCCCTGCACTCAGCCACTCCCGGGCCTCGGAGACCCCCACTCCCGCCCACAGCTGCTCACAGGTCCCTGCAGGGCTCCTGCCTCCGCTCCTCTCCCTGCTGGTCCCAGGAAGCTGCCCCCTGCGCGTCCCCCATGGCACCTCCCATCCCCCCCTCCCCCATCCTGGTGTCAGCCTGGCTTTGTACAGGGGCCTCCTGTGTGCTGCCGGGACCACAAAACCCTTCATGTTGGGAATGAGAGCGGTGCGCCTGCTCAAAGCCCTCCCAGGCCCCCGCACACAGAGCACCAGTCCTCACCATGGGCCCTCCAGCCTCCCCTCGATCCTGACACCTGCCTCCTCTCTGCACAGTGGACACCCTCAGGCCCCTGCCTCAGGACCTTTGCACCAGCTCTTTTCTCTGCCTGGACCCAGTTTCCCAGCCTGCCTTGCAGGTAGGCGGGGCCGTGTGGCTGAGTCCCTGCCAGTGGGGGGAGCAGGCTCTCCACTTCCGGGGTCCACGCTGGCTGGATACTAAGGACTTAGAGATGATGGGGCCACAGATGCAGAGGCCTGGACACTGCAGGGTCAGGTGGAGGCCAGCACTGCCCAGGAACAGCTGTATTGGCCTCTGGGTGAGAAACAAGTGGGGCCGAGTTCAGCTGCTGGAACCTGGGCCTGTTCGTTACAGCAGCTGGCTTGCATCCTTCCCTGACTGATACATGTGCACCAACCAGCACTGAGCTGCACCTGGGACAGCACTCCAAGGGGACACAGTGCCGCTCGAGGACAGGGGCCTCTCGCTCCCCGCTCAGTCAGAAGACCCCTCCTCCTGGGGGTGCAGGGCAGATGGCACCAGGGCCGCCCTGTGGCCCTCTAGCGATGGATTGTGCGGTAGGAGGCAGATACGGACGACCAAGGGACGTCCCTCCTCTCAATTCCCAAGGCCCTGCCCAGAGCCCAGCACCACGCCCACAGCCCCAGGCAGGAGGGAGCCGTAAGCTTGACACCCATTTTAGGGGTCTCCCGTTAATTAAACAGGCACCATGAGCAACGCACGCCAGCGCCCGCCTCGGGTGTATCAATGGCACATCTGTAGGGCGTGCCATGGGTGGTATCCGTTCTCACATGATTCACAACCCGCTCCCCTCTGGGCTCCGAGAGAGCCCGGCCGGCTTCGCGGGGGCTCGAGAGCTGCAGCCAACGCCGACTTACATTTCATTATAAATGGCTTTGGTGGGCATGTCGGCAACTTTTACATCTCCACCCACTTTATTATTAATGGCTTTCCTGAGCGGAGGCAGCCAACGTCGCACACAATGCGCCATAAATATTTGATCCGGCATCTATAGCCTGCCATTTATCATTTATAACGGGTTACAAAAACATTATAAAACATTTACCACCCGTTTATAGATCATTTTTGGCTACCACGACGCTGTGTTATAAATGCATTATTCATCCTCACACTGTTGCTGCAGCCCCTCATAAGGGGCCCGTCTCCAGTTCCTGGTCCTGAGGGGGCAGGGTGGGTGGGGGGCCTGGGGGCGGGACCAGCCCTGCCGCTGATGGCCATGTCCTTGGCCAGACACAGCCCCTGCCCACGACGGCAGCGACAGCACCTTCACCAGGCTCCCACACGGCGCGTCCCCGCCAGGCCAGGCTGTACCAGGAGGCACCGGGGAGGACCCAGGGCTGTGGGCCCACGACCCACACGTGGCGGCTGACGAAAGCTGTGCCCCGCTGTGGGCTGATGAGGCCCACACCCAGAAAACTCCTCCTCGCCTTCAAGACCCACTGGACATCCGCCTTCTCTCAACAGCCCTTGCTGAGTCCCCAGGGCATGGCCTGTGGGGTCCAACCTCAGGCCCCGGAGGCCCAGCAGGCCGGGCTGCGGGACCGGGGTCCAGACGGGGTTCTGGGGCGAGTTGACTCTGGCTCTGCCTGCTGGGTGCACGCTCAGCTCGGCCCAGAGCAGGGAGACCCGGCCGCCAGCCTGCCTCCTAGGCCTGTGTCATCTTGTGAAGAGACGGCGCCGCCTGAGGGGCACCTCCACGTGTGGCCTGGGCCTGCACCAGCTGACGGG